TCTAACAGTTAGACAGGTTGACCCGTCATGTTATTTGACTATAATTTATACTTAGTATATCAAATGTCATAATTATGTGTATAGTTTTTCAGAATATGATATTTTCTAATTAATGAAAATATATAACACAAGACCAAACCAAAAAGGCATTTATATATATATAGTTGGGATGTGTGACTTATAAAAAGAAAAGAAAATGAAAAATCTCCAAAAAATTCTTTATCACTACCCACCACCAATGGCATTTCTACAAGCCCCACAAATTTTATAAAAATAAAAATAAAATAAATAAATTAAAAAAACACCAAAAAAAGGATAAGATTCTACAAAGGAAAAACTAAAATAAAATAAAGCAGTATCGACTCGCCACAGGGTAATAAAGCAGTGGCCTACAATTGAAAATTCTGATAAGTGATCCTTTGCTTTGAATAACTGATTGTGATCGAACAGTTACAAAACTCGATGAAATAGTTTCGTAACGAGACCGTAACATTTTTCTATATCATAATTCAAATTAGTCTCCTTTGTTTCCACGAAAGTAATTGGATTACACTGTTGGGTTTTGTAAGAAAGTGGGAAAAATATATTCTGTATTATTCACAAAGACATATACACATATATATAGATACATAGAAGGCCTAAACCTAACTTATTGTACAAGAAACCATTTACATTAACTAACACCCCCTCCTCAAACTCAAGGTTGTATAGTGGAGATCAACTTGAGTTTGCTAAGAAGTAAACAAAAGCGACCGGGAAGGAGAGACTTCGTGAAGACATCCGCTGATTGATCTATAGAAGAGACGGAAACAAGCTTCACAGTCCCATGTGCAACATGCTGTCGAATGAAGTGACAGTCAATCTCAATATGCTTAGTACGCTCATGAAATGTATCATTATGAGACATCTTTATAGCACTCTGACTATCACAATGTAAAGTAGTAGACACCGACTGAGGTGCACCAAGATCAGCAAGTAGTCGACGCAGCCATAATAACTCTGAGGTGGAATCAGCAAGAGCACGATACTCAGACTCAGCACTCGATCTGGAAACCAATGTTTGCTTCTTACTGCGCCAAGAGACAAGTGAATCACCAAGAAAGAAGCAGTACCCAGTAATAGAACGACGATCAGTAGGATCTCCAGCCCAATCTGCATCAGAATAACCGCTAAGCGTCAAAGAAGAATGGGCCGAGAAGTGTAAACCATGCAATAGAGTGCCCTTCACATAGCGAAGGATGTGCAACACAGCAGAATGATGCGTGGTTCTCGGAGCAGCCATAAACTGACTTACAATATGAACAGCATGAGCTATATCAGGCCGAGTGACAGTCAAGTATATCAAACTCCCAATAAGCTGACGATATAATGTAGGATCCTCAAGAAGAGAGCCATCAAGTGGAGTAAGACGAACATCATAATCAAGAGGAGTGGAAGCTATCTGACAATCAGTGAGACCGGCCCGAGCAAGAAGATCAGAGGCATACTTGGCTTGAGACAAATAGAATCCATCTGACGAATCAGAGATCTCAAGACCCAAAAAATAGCGAAGCTGGCCCAAACTCTTCATCTCAAAATGCTGACGAAGATAATCCTGCAAATCGGAAATACCGGTAATATCATCCCCCGTGATGATCATATCGTCAACATAGAGTAGCAAAATAATGATCCCGGAGGAGGAGCGCCGAAGAAATAAAGCAGAATCATGATCACTCGTAGTGAAACCAAACTGAAACAATGCAGAACTGAACGTGGCATACCAAGCACGAGGCGCTTGTTTCAAGCCATACAAGGCTCGACGTAGACGACAAACTTTCCCAGATGACAATGATCCAGGAGGAGGAGTCATGTAAACCTCCTCAGACAAGGCACCGTGTAAGAAGGCATTCTTGACATCTAACTGTAGAAGAGACCATCGACGAACAGCAGCAACTGCAAGTAAACACCAGACAGTAGTAAGACGAGCAACCGGTGCAAAGGTCTCTTCATAATCTATGCCATACTCCTGGGAGTAACCCTTAGCAACCAACCGAGCTTTGTAGCGCTCAATAGATCCATATGAATTTGTCTTGATCTTATACACCCACTTACATCCGATGGGAGTCTTGTCAGCAGGTAAATCCACAAAATCCCAAGTATGAGTCTTTTCTAAGGCCTGTAATTCCTCAGTCATAGCTTTTTGCCACAATGGATTAGCATTCGCCTCACGAAAAGACCGAGGCTCATGATGAGATAGAATGGCCGAATAACAATGATAGTCAAGTAAGTGAGAAGGGGGACGACTTACACGAGTCGACCGTCGCTGATCAATAGCTGGCAAAGGTGCAGAATCAGAAGAGGGCTCAATACGAACTGTCGGTTCAGGATGCACAGGTGGAGCCACTTCAGAAGACGGAGGCATGACAGGCGTGTCAATGAGCTGTGAGTCAGAACCTATATCTGTATCTGGAAAAAGATATGAAGTAATAGACATGAATAAAGGAGACGCCGAATCAAACGGAATATGGAACTTAGACAAGGAGGAAAAGGTAGTATGCTCCCAAAAGGTAACATGACGCGAAATACGCAGCCGATTAGAAATCGGATCCCAACACCTAAATCCTTTGTGTTCTACCCCATAACCCAAAAAACAACACAGACGAGCTTGGGGTTCTAATTTGGTTCGCTCATGGGACGGAAGAAGAACAAAGCAAACACAACCAAAAGGACGTAACTGAGTATAATCAGGAGACTGACCGTACAACCTCTCAAAAGGACTGACATCACTAATGACTGATGAGGGAAACCGATTGATAGCATAAACAGCAGTCAAGGCTGCCTCACCCCAAAAACGATCAGGACACTGAGCAGAAAGAAGAAGAGCCCGGACAGTATCAAGAATGTGACGGTGTTTACGTTCAGCTCGTCCATTTTGTTGGGAAGTATATGGACACGAACGCTGAACTAAGGTGCCCTGATCAGAAAAAAATTTCAAAAAAGTAGAATCTTTGTACTCAAGAGCATTATCAGTACGCAATACCTTTATAGGACAAGAAAATTGGGTAAGAATCATGTTAGCAAATTGAACATATATGCTGGACAACTCAGAACGATTTTTGAGAAAATAGATCCAGGTAAAACGAGAAAAATCATCAACAAAAATAACAAAATACCGAAAACCACTCAGAGAAGCAACAGGAGAAGGACCCCAAATATCAGAATGTACCAAACCAAAAGGTTTATCAGCAGTTGACAAACTATCAGAAAAAGAAAGAGCCGGTTGTTTCCCAAGTTTGCAATGAAGACAACTAAAAGACTCAAAATGACTTGAACCCAAAAGACCCTTATTATATAAAGAACGAATTTTATTCGAAGACGCATGCCCAAGACGAAGATGCCACTGGAAAATAGACTTACTATCGGTGGCAGAAGCAGAAAAAGAGTAAAAACGAGGGACATGAAGTGACTCAAGCTCAAATAACCGGCCCGTCTTGCGACCTTTCCCGAGAAGCCGTCCCGTCTGTGAATCCTGAACCTGAACACCAGAAGATGAAAATATAACATTAAGACCTTGGTCAACCAATTGACCAACCGAAATAAGATTCAAGGCCAAGTCAGGAACGCAGTATGTGTCGGGAAGATGCAAGGAAGGGGAAGAAATCAAACCAGTGTGAGTAACATTCATAAGAGTACCATTAGCAGTATGTATAGGAGGTAAAGAGGTTACGGAAGACGAGGAAGACAAAAGTTGCGGGCTAGAGGTCATGTGATTGCAACAGCCAGAATCAAAATACCAATGTGATTTACCTCCGGTAGCAGACATAGAAGAATTGGAAAGAATAACCTGTTTGAGAATAGCCTCTATGTCTTGAAGAGTAGAAGACGAATGCTGAGACTCAGTAGTGACAGCCGCTGTAACAGAAGAAGTGGCGGTAGAGGAAGATCCATGATGTCGATAGAATGAACCTCTCGAACGGTGTGATTTGGCTGGACAATATGTAGCAATATGACCCCGAACATGACAAATGTGGCATACCACCGTAGGACAAAATGGAGCAATATGACCCCGAACATGGCAAATGTGGCAGACCACCATAGAAGAATCCATATCAAAAAATAAAGAAGCACCAGCAACAATAGGAAGACGAAAGAATATCACGAACTGGATCACAAACCGGATAAAATAGCAGTAAATGACCGAAATAAAACAAGTCCACCAAAACCAAATCCGAACATACCAGGACGTAGCCAACGAAGAGAGGAGTCGACCTCTGAAAAATCGAGGTAATCGGAGTTGGGGGTGGCTCTCACGCTCCGTCTGAATCTGCCGGCGCTGTCGCAGAAACCGGGCGAGTGTGGGCCCCACGCGCCGCCAAACGGGCTGAAATTTTGACCGACGGCCCGCCGGAGGATGCCGGAGAGGATGGTATGGGAGGTGAGAATTGAAGACTGCCGGAGACGTGCGTCAAAAGAGAAATCTATAATTGAACCTAAACCTAGTCTGATACCATGTAAGAAAGTGGGAAAAATATGTTCTGTATTATTCACAAAGACATATACACATATATATAGATACATAGAAGGTCGTTCAGAAAGAAACTGGAGTTGATACCAAAAAGGGAAAGCCGGATTTCAGTCGCCCTAGCAATCAGCATCGCCTATTGCCTCGGTCTAACCAATAAACCTAACTTATTGTACAAGAAACCATTTACATTAACTAACAGGTTTCATTCATTGCGTTTAAAGGCCAAAAACACGAATACATACAAAACATCATATGACCCGAAAAATGTATATATATTTGTCGTAATTCTAACCCACTGCAAAACGTTTGTAATAATTGTACAAAATAACATAACTCAATAACAATTCTCTAATTCCCTTAATTTCATCTGGCAAATGTCCAAGTTGCTCTAATATTAACTTGAGTACATATATTTGTCGTAGTTCATGCTATGTTTTCAGCACTGCCTTTGGCCGAGACCCTTAATTACGACTAACCATCACAAACCGAGCGGTCTTTAGGCGATGCACTCGAAAATCTTCTGACGTGAATCCTGTATTTCTTAGGAAAAAAGAAAAGATAACACAACAAAAACCGCGGTTTGAAGATCAAGATATTTGGCAATGTCATATGTGATGTGAAAATTATTAAGGGGGGTTAATTAATATCGTGCAAATACACTGTCCATACCTGCAAATGGCTTTTCACTTCATCATTTGTAAGGTCCTCCACTTTCATATGCTCTCGAATTTGCTTTGGTGTAGCCACTGAAATATTTCACCACATTTTTTTTTTTTAAATATTAATCCAAGAGATTGTAGGTACATATTATATGCAAACTACATAAAAAAATAACTTGTACTATTTAGAATCGGTTTTGCTATGAACCCAACAGTTGGCTCTAGTTAACTATTACTAACCCATTAAATTGTAAAATATATTCCAACATACTGCATTTAGTTCTAGAATAAACTCAGTTCTAATTTTTAAAAAACTAAATGGAGGAAAATTTCGAATATTGGTTGAAACTAAATGATTTCGTACCCTCGGCTCCACCGAGATTCTGCAGGGCATACACGAATAGCCTGTGCAGCTCGGGCGACCAGCAGCGCCTCCGTTTCTTGTGCTGTTCGAGCAAACCCGGGTTTTTCTTAAATGGCGAAAATGCCCCTCCTTCTCTGTTCCTGAGAAACCTGCTGCTTTCCTCATGTTTGCATTTCCTCTAGGAAAAAAAAGTTAATAAAATATTTAATAAATTTAAACCAAATGAGTCGACAAAAACCAAATGATGTCGTCGGGGTTTCTTATCCCGTCGCGTTTTAGTTCACGACTAGGCTGTTGACCTCCTTCTTTGTACCAAAATAAAATAAAATAAAATAAAGAGTACTAACGGGTTTTAGGGGGGAAAAGGAATCTTGATTTTGGGTGGTGAAGAAGCTGTTTTCGTACTGAAGGCCTGGTGGGGTCCACAGCTGGACGGAGCTCATCCAGCTCCTCTTCTCGCTCAAGTCTATTGACATTTTTGCCCTTTCGTTTCCTTCCGAATTACTACTGGTCTTGGACAGCGTGGATTCTGCACTCTTCAACCTCTCAATTCCTTCAAAATGAATAAAATCGTGTTGAGACAGAGAAAAAGAAAAGAGAGAGAGAGAGAGAGAGAGAGAGAGAGAGAGACCATGTTTCAAAAGCTGCATGCACAGAGGAAGCTCGTGCTTGAAAGCGTCGACTTTCTTCATCTCGTCTTCCAACGAGCGGACGGAAAATTCCATCTCCGGTGATGATTGGTCGGAAAATTCCGAAATCGACGAGGCTTTGTTCAGAACGTCGGAAATGGTTTTGGGAAGAAAACTCAATTCGTCGTTGGAATTATCGTCCTTGTTTTTATCAAAAGCCATTAAAGATTTTTTTTTTTTTTGT